TTGGGAGATTCTGCGGCTCTTTCACACATACTGTGTGGCTCCCAGCAGGGCGGCTGGGGAAGCGAAGGGGAGGCGTGCCTCCCCGATCGGTCTTCCCTTCCCCAGCCAGGCTTGAGGTGGAGGGGAGCATGGAAAGAAAGCAACTTTAGCTTTAAATGGATTTTCAAAGCCCCCCCCTCCCCGCTGGCCAGCTTGTAGAAGGCATTTGTCTCTTTATGTCACTTCTACAAGCCAAGGCAGCCAGCGGGGTCGTGGTGCTTTTAGGACACATTTAAAGCTAAAATTGCTTTCTTTCTAGGTCTCCCTCCCTCCCCCATCTATTTTCTCTCTCTCTCTCTCCTCCCTCCCCATCTGAAGTTAAATGTGTTCTCCAAGCCCTGCCCCACTGGCTGGCTTGGGCTCAGATAAGGCATTTGTCTCTTTGAACCCCTTCTCCAAGCCAAGCCGGCTGCCTTGGGGGCATGGGGTTTTTCTGGAGAACACATTTAAAGTTAAAGTTGCTTTCTTTCCACTTCTCCCTTCCTCCCTTCCCATTTATTTGCTTTCTTTCTACCTTTTCACCTACCTTCGTCTCCCTCATTTATTTGTTTTCTTTGTTTCTATTTCTCTCTCTCTTTCTTTGCACCTTTCATTCTTTCCACCTTCCGCCCCCCATCTATTTGCTTTGTTTCTCTCTCTCTCCCTTCCTTCTTCCTGCTCCATTCCCTATCTATTTTCTTTCTCTCTTTCCACCTTCCTCCAATTTGCTTTCTTTCCACCATTCCCTCCCTCCCTCCCTGTCTTCCTTTCTTCCGCCTCACTCACTCCCCTGTCTATTCTCCAAGCCATGCTGGCTGGCGTGGCAGGGGCGGGTTGGAGAACACATTAAAAGTTAACATTGCTTTCTTTCCACCTCTCCCTCCCTTCCTCCCCATTTATTTGCTTTCTTTCCACCTTTCTCTTTTTCTCCCTTCCTTTCTCCTCCCTCACTCGTCTATTTGCTTTGTTTCTCTCTCTTCCTTCCTTCCTCCTGCTCCATCCCCTATTTTCTTTCTTTCTCTCTCTCTCTTTCCTCCTTCCCCCATCTATTTGCTTTCTTCCCACCATTCCCTCCCTCCCTCTCGGTCTTCCTTCCTTCCTCCTCACTCCCTCCCCCGTCTATTTGCTTTCGTTGTTTCCCTCTCTCTCTTAAGACAAATAAATATCATTAGCAAATATCATTGGACAAATAAAAATGCGTGTGTCATATTTGTTCACGACTTGCGGCTCGCGAACATCTGACGTTTATTCCGTGTGGCTCTTACGTTAAGCAAGATTGGGCCACCCCTGCAGTGCACACAGTATTCCAAACGAAACCGCACCACAGATCCGTAGAGGGGCATTATAAGATTGGCAAATACTTCAACATGGGTAAATATTCCTTGGGCGGAGCCGGGAAGCATCCCGGAAGTCCCTTGGCACGGCCCCCCCACTGCCCTGAGCAGACCTGCAGGCTACTCCGAAGATCCGGGAGAGCCCCCCCCCAAGCCGTATCTCAACTGCTCAGACCACCACCACCCCTCGGCCGGCTGCGGGCTCTCACCTGAACATCTCTGCCACTTCTCCCTTTGCCAGAGCCACCAGGAGTGGGAAGCCGATGCAGGCTGGGACCAGGTACAGCAGAGCCGGCTGGGAGAGGGAAGAGGAAGGGGAGGCGTTAGGGGAAGGCGGGTGCCACCAGGGGGCGGGCTCGAGGCTGGTGGGATACCGGGTTTGGGGGGGGGGGGGTGGAAAGCAG